ATTATTTAATCGTATTATTTAATCGTATTATTTAATCGTATTATTTAATCGTATTATTTAATTGTATTATTTATAATTAATTAAATTTACCAAAGCTGCACGTTATGTAAAACAATTTATCATTAATGAATCACACTAATGCATGTAATATGATTACATTGTAGGATAAAATTATATTCTGTGCATAATCTATTGGTCTTTTATTAATTACAATTAAACTCAGAAAAAAGTCATAGAATAATCAATTTACGCCCATCAATAGCTAAAGCAGAAATAAATAAATTCTATTAAAATAAAATGAATTGAGGATTTTATCAATTTAAAAAAATATAAACAATAAGTATGAGATTATACGACCGTGTAAGATATACAATCAAAGGGAGAAAACGCCGTAATCGGTCAGAAATATATTTTATATTTTGAGCATGAAAGGATGAGATTGTATGAAGTTCTTTCTTTTTTTATCACGTAATCCAATATATGGGGCTGGAACGTGCTAGCGATACCTTTGTGGCAATTATGATGTAATTTCGTTGTTTCTTTCGAGTTTCTTTTATTAGACCGAGGGCTTACCGCAACGACGCTCCACTCTGGCCCGAAATGAAAGCTATATTTGCAATAAGCGTTATTGACATCGTAGAACTCTGCGTGCTCGATGGAGCCGGTAACGGCGAGGAAAAATTGTCCTTCCACTGACATACTATCGTCGAAAACAAAAAATGAACTTCGTTCTCTATTTCGAGCCTACGACCGACGATACTCAAATAAATCGCGATTTGCGGAACAGCTGAGACTTAACCCTCTGTTTATGGTCGAGCTGCAAGTTGTTACCATGGAAATGACGCATGTGTATTGTGGTAATACATCGTTGCGTGCGTTATGTTACGTGTTGCTACCATATAAAACGTAATGTAGATTAATTACTAGTATTCTCGAATTCCTTCGAGATAATTGTCTAATAAATAATGCCTTATAATAGTAGTGCGGACGGAACCCATTAATTTCTTTACCATTTTTATAAGTAAAGGATATAATTATAATTTTAAAAATTATTATACCATTGGTACACTTGACCACTGCAATGTACTACTATGCATACCTCATCTAAAATTTTAATCGTTCGGATTGTAATTTTGATCGTATTTCGAGTTTACACCGAAATTCTGAAATTTAATTTGATCACATTGATAGTTGCTGAAGATGGTCCAAAACTAGAACCGAAACGTTCAATACATTTCAAACAAAGAAGAACAATGTGCGCACTACTTACTGCGCCGACAACGAACTCTTAATTAGCCCGCTACCAATTATCTGAGAATATTTATTGTCAGAGCTTTCGACTTCAAATTAAAAATTAGTCGTTTAGTTTATGTATACATAAAATTTTATAACATTTTTACATTCAAAAATACACATATTATAGTTTTTATATTTATAGTTAAAATAAATTGTATATTAAGGAGATCCTATAGTGGCAGTAGTTACCGGACATTGTTTTATTTTAATATAAACTGCAGTATTTTTGTTATTGTCGTCAGATGACAACTGTATGTGCCCAAATTAGTAAAATTTTCAATTTTTTTTTTGTTCCCGATATGAAATCGTGTGTCGCGAACTAGATTTTTATGCGTACTTTAATTCTGTAAAAGAATTTTACAATTCTGTAAAGCCAATTCAAAGATTTCTTAATTAAGAATTATTTGATGCAAATAAATTTTCATTTTGTTTAATAAGATAGATGTGCTTCCATGGAATCAATAATTTCTTATGTTTGGAGCAATATCCGAAATAGCCAATCGTAAATTGTCTTTTTTAAAAAATTTACGACTTCCAATAACTTTTATGCGACCTACTGCGCATTATTGCCTTATATAGTATTATATCTTTAAATAATATTAGATCTTTTATTGCGCTATCCGTCTTGCAATCTTAAAAATAGAAATAGCTTCTTATAATTTCATTCCGAAATCGTCCGGCTTACTTCTAAAATTAGAACTTACTTCTATCTCGTCTTTCTCAATTATTAATTGGTATCCCAATTTCTATTTCTTTTTTTAGAAATTTTAAATTTGTCCTGCGAAATTAATTTCTTTATTCTTGATATTAGGACATATCAAATTATTTAGTTATGATTATTTTAAGAAAGAAACATTCTGCGTATTAAACGAAAATTCGTCTTATGTAAGTTCAGGCTCAGTTCTCGCCAACGTGAACGAGAATCTTCGATCCAACGCATGGCATTGTAATACATATAATCTTACCTGAATAAAAAATCGTAAAAAAAATTGCATTTTATCTTTCTCAATACTTCAAAATATTACGTTACAACTCGTATAAAACAATTAACACCTGTGCGAAACATTTTTTAAAGGATGCTTTCTCTTTTTCCTGTAAATTTCTTTAAATATTTGGAGAATCAGTATTTATTCCAGATTAAAGCGATCATTTTTAGCTTAACCGATATTTTTAATTATAATAATAATAATAACTTTAGTGCGTACATAATATAAGATTATCTTATAATATGAATAATTGTACAAAAGCTGAATGAAAGAAACGTACACGCAAAAGAAAGACACCGCACAGCTGCTTCAGTGATGTAGCTGATAAAAACAAGATGTTCAGAGCACAAGATGGATAAGTCGTAAAACAGAAACACAGTAAACAAGTAAGTGGAACAAGAAAATAGACAGATCGCAGAACAGAACATGAATCAAATAAAATATAAACAGAACCTAGATAAGAATACTGAAGTGTACTGCAATACTGGTTAAGTCTGTAAAAGAATGGCCGGTATTTTATCAGAAAAACCGGTTTAAAAGAAGAATCACTCCAAGAGCTAATATTCTTTTACGATACTATTTCCAAAATACGTCTTAAATCAGTTATTCAAACAGTTCAGCTTATCTCCAAGAGAACACTTGAAGCGGGGGAACTAATTAAGGTCAATTAAGGATGCGCCACTCGTTGCGCTAATAGTTTATTTGGCTTTCGTCGAAACAGTACATTCTTCTAAAATGAGTTAACAACTAGAAAATGACGATGGCGCTTCCTCGCTGGTGTTGTATGTACATGTGTAGCAACGCCTTCGAGCTGTTCACGATTTCCGAAATGAGCGCGTCGGCCGATACGCGACCGTGACTACGCATTGGTGCGGAATAAGGCTCTGTCCGTCAGAGTTTTTAACTTTACGAGCGCACGTCTTCTTCGCGTCATGTAAGCGATTAGTATTGTCGAGCAAAAGTGAGGGAAAAGGCAACGATGAACTAAGCTTGTCTAACGACACGACACATCTAAAATATACCTAGGAAGGTATATCCAAGGTTTTTTAGAAGTACATCTTAAGTACTTTTATATATTTTAGACGTTTGCGTTGTTTGAACTACTGGCTAGACACCGTATCGTATCAATCACTTATTATCCGAGAGGACAAAGACACGATGACGATTGCGCTACCGTGATCGGCTTCGCCCACATTCGGCATGTTCTTCTTTCCCATTTCCGCAAATGCGTTTACGCGCTATATGACAATCGGTGACCCCGATCGAATGGATATCCAATCGGCGATTTAGCTTATCGTCCGCCACTCGATATTTCCTTCATGCGATTCAACGCGGAACCGGCTTTGAACCAACCGATCTGCTGCTCGTTCATTGTATGATTCAGACTGATGGTGTCCACTTTGCCGTCCTTGTGTTTGATTTGCGCTTTGACCGGCTGAAAGAGTCATATCAAACGTAAAAAAAGATAAGTTGAGTAATCGAAATTTGTATACGCCGAATATTAAAAGTAAGAAGATTAAAATGTACAATAATACACAGTATCGTATTTCCTTCAGTTTGGATTTGTTTGTTTAACATATTTTCGCTCTACAAGCAAAATATACTTTACAAACCTTGCCAGGTGCCAGATCCTTCAATCCGAGAAGGCTGATCTTGTCGTTAGGCTGAATTTTATCGTAATCAGCAGGATCGGCGAATGTCAAGGGCAAGAGACCTTGCTTCTTCAAATTCGTTTCGTGTATACGAGCGAAACTCTTAACGATGATAGCGCGGCCGCCAAGATGACGCGGTTCCAAGGCAGCGTGCTCCCTGGAGGAACCTTCGCCGTAATTTTCATCACCCACCGCAACCCATTTTACGCCCTTCTTCTTGTAATCACGTGCAACGTCAGGGACGGCACCCCATTCATTCGTCAGTTGATTCCTGATCTTGTTCATCTCGCTATTTTCAGAATTGACGGCGCTAAAAAAATATTATGACAAATGCGGTTGATTTATTATCATTGAGACATTATCACATTATTACTATGAATATGAATTTTGAAAAATTAATTTACATATATTAAAAAATTTAATTTCAATATACATGTTTAAAATTTAATTTTTTCTCTAATCTTTCAGTAATGTTTCTTACTAATGTTTGGCTGTTTTAGTCATTATTTCAGGTAGCGATGCTTACCCAATGAACATATTGTTGGAAATATTGTCGAGATGTCCACGATACTTGAGCCACGGGCCAGCCGCGGAGATGTGGTCTGTGGTACACTTGCCTTTGACTTTAATCAAGATCGTTAGATCCTCCAAATCCTTGCCGTCCCACTTGTCGAAGGGCTCCAGTAACTGTAATCTTTGACTCTTGGGATCCACGTCGACCCTAACTTTGCTACCGTCTGATGGTGGTGAGTCGTAAGTGTCCATACCGGGATCGAAACCGCGATTAGGTAACTCGTCACCTATATAAACATATAAATACACTTAGTAACATATACGTTTGTATACGTATCATAAATCATCTTATTACTTTTTGCTGCACAATCATGTGAAAAACATTATCGACTAACCGTACGGATTGTCCAGGAGGAACTCCTTTCCATCTTTGCCCTTTAATTTGTCTTTCAGCGGATTGAAGTCAAGTTTACCAGCGATGGAAAGAGCAGTAACGAGCTCGGGACTTGTGACGAACGCGTGTGTCGCTGGATTGGCATCGTTCCGACCCGTGAAGTTACGATTGTACGACGTGACGATCGTGTTCTTGTCTCCCTTCTTGATGTCTTGGCGATCCCATTGACCGATGCAAGGACCGCAGGCGTTGGCTAACACTGTACCGCCGAATTCACGAAGTGTTTGTGCCTAGAATAAATTAAAGTGTCATCGTATAAACAAGTTATATAATGTAAACAATTCGACATTTTTATTGAATAAATTTATTTCGTTAATGGATAGTCTCTTTCGCGCTTTTCTTTTTATTATATTTTCAACTTTTTATAAAATAAATGTATTTTGTTGATGGATAATTACGAATAATTTTTTGTAAAAAACAATTTAAGAAGTTTTGAGGTAATATTGTATGTAATGTAAGAAAAATATCGCATTGGTATAAATGATACATTCTACATTTAGAAGAAATTAACACTTACATTGAATACAAAATATTATAATAATATTTCTTGTGAAAATATTCATTAAAAGAAATATAATTAAAACTTACGATTCCATCGCGTTCGATTGTCGCGCGAATTTGTTCAGATCCAGGCGTGACGTTAAACGCGGATTTTGCTTTCAAGCCGTGTTTCAGAGCTTGCTTGGCGATATTTGCGCATCGACCCATGTCCTCGTAGGAGCTATTGGTACAAGAACCGATCAGGCCGACCTTGATCTCGTTTGGCCAGTCGTTCTTCTTAGCGGCTTCGCCTGTAACGATCGCAAAAATAGATATCTTCGTAGAGATAGAAATAAAATAAGTAAAACTTCGCCCGTGTAGTTTAATTACCCAATTTAGAGATCGGGTGTGCCAAGTCCGGCGTGAATGGTCCGTTCACGTGCGGCTCCAGAGTCGACAGGTCCAACTCGATGATCTGATCATATTTGGCATTAGAGTCGGCCGTCAGCAGACTCTCCTTATGTTGATCGGCGGCTCCAGCGATTTCCGAGCGCCCGGTCGCCTTCAGATAATCCTGCATTCTGTAGTTGTATGGAAAGATCGAGGTGGTCGCGCCAATTTCAGCACCCATGTTGCAAATGGTGGCCATTCCGGTGCAGCTGATGCTGTCGACGCCCGGTCCGAAGTACTCGACGATGGCGCCGGTACCGCCCTTGACAGTGAGGATACCGGCCACCTTCAGGATGATGTCCTTGGGACTGGTCCAACCCTTTAGTTCGCCCGTGAGCTTCACGCCAATGACCTTAGGGCACTTGAGCTCCCACGGGATGTTCGCCATGACGTCAACGGCGTCGGCACCGCCGACACCGATGCACAGACAACCTAGACCGCCTCCGTTCGGGGTGTGCGAGTCGGTACCGATCATCAGTAGACCGGGGAAGGCGTAATTCTCGAGGATGATCTGGTGGATGATGCCGGAACCGGGGTTCCAGAAGCCAACGCCGTATTTAGCGCCCGCGGTCTTCAGGAAGTTGTAGACTTCCTTGTTGATGTCCTTGGCGCGTTTCAGATCCTCCGTACCGCCGGTCTGCGCCTCGATCAAGTGATCGCAGTGGATGGTGGAAGGTACCGCGACTTTCGGTAGACCTGAAAGAAAGAATTATCTATTTGACATCGCGATATAATCAAGAAGACTCGACTTGATGATTAAGACTATTTTACCGGAACTGATGAACTGCAACATTGCCATTTGAGCAGTCGCGTCCTGCATGGCGACACGATCCGGCCGCAATCGCAGGTAGCTGGTGCCGCGAACGATATCTTGCTTGTCAGGTTCATCGAGATGGGAATATAGAACTTTCTCGGACAGAGTTAGCGGCCGATTCAATCTGAAAAGTCATTTTAGAAGATGGATTATTATTTCTAGATAGCTTGCATCGAATTGGAGCATCAGAAATTCTCTTGAATAAATAAATCAAGACTATAATATTCACATTTGAAAGAGACTTTGACCAGTTTATAATTACTTGACGTAGCGTGAAGGAAAAACACAGGAGGCCTTTTGAAATATAAATAATAATTCTCTCATTCATGAATATTATATATTTAACTACTTTGGGACCATCTCGAATTACTTTGTCATAAATAATGCAAACGAGAACTTTGTTCTTACCTCTTCTTAACTACTTTAAGATTTTCGTCCAGCTTGTCGTAGGGCAGGTAGCTGGTCGAATCGAATTTGGACATCGCCACCTTCGCCGCGGCGAAGCTCAACGGACTCGCGCTGAAGCATCGTTGCTGTACATCCGCCGCTAAAGCGGACAGTCTCTGCAAGGTAATTAAATCACTCTGTTGATCTTCTAATTGTCCAAAAGACGTGTGTGCGTAGACCAGAAACAATGACATTGGCTGGTGTCAGCCAATTTGCAATATATGCTGCGCAATACGCGTTTATTTCTGTGTGCGATCTCAATTACGTAATTAGGTCTAAGATACGTGACACGCTCATCACACTTGCAGTATTTATCCGTGGATATACACGTTGTCACAAATGCGTTCAGATAAAATCTATTTACGCCGATAACGCTCAATGCGTCGGCGATAAGAATTACAAACAAACAAGTACAATCCGTGTGAATGCACAACGAAATGTGCGTTCTTTTAATAATTCTCTATATTATCCATGTTATTCCCCCCTCCCCATACAATGTCCAACGTTTAAATTCAAGCTTAAATTCCGCGCACTCGTCGAACACCTGCGCCATGATGAGCAGATTTTAACCTAACGCCCCCGAAAAATGACCGCGATATATACATGCAGTTTGGCATTACGTAACGCTCTTATGCGTTACATCCTGCGTATATTGTCCATTTTTTTTCCCCGAGATTCATGTGGCTCAACGTACGTTCTATACTTGCGTACATTCATTCTTTTAACACTGACACGTCCACGTTGTGCCCTTCCCCTTCCCCTTTCACGATCGATCCCTCACTTCGCTCCAGAAAATCGGAGCAGTGGGACGCGTAGTAAACATCTCAAGTAGTGAAAATGTTACCCACTCACGGCACAGTTTTGAGGAAAATTGCGATTATAATGTAAAGGGAGCTCCGTCGAGTAATAGAGGTCAATTGGTTGACCTCCACCCGAGGGAGAGGGAGGAAAGAGACACGGAGCGCCCTTGCGACAGAGATTTTTCGGCTCCGTTTCGTTTTTCCCTTTTTACCTGTGCGCGAAGAACTCGCGTGCAATACGACATGGCGAGTCGAATTAGCGATCAGCTGATTAATTTGGGAGTCGCAGACGCGTGTGGGAAGGCGGGATGGTCTTCGCCTCGTGGCAGCTCTTCTCGAACCGGCCACTACAGAGAAACTAAGGCCGCCAGGCGCCACACAGTGCTCTTCGTGTCGTCGGCTCTAAATTTTTGCGCCTGCGCACGAATTATCATGCGCTTTTGTTTTGAATCGTATTTATAAAGTCGATTATTTGTCCGAAACGCAATTTCAGCAAAGATATCACATCGTAAAAAATAAAAAAGTGACGTACAAGATTTCTGAGTATTATTGCACGAGTTACGAGATTGTCGTAATTTTCCATTCGGCGAAGTAAGAACTAGGACCTTCGGTATTGTAGGAACCCTCGAATCAAATTATTACGTTTAGGGCCCCCAGAGTCCTAAAATCCATCATGATGTTAAAAAGGCGAAAAAATTCAGAGAAAGGACAAAGATATCATTTGATTTGTATCTTTTTTACAATTAAAAGCATCTGCCATTGTTTTAGACAAAGCCAAAGACAAAAATTTTTCTTTATTATTAAATAGAACTACTTCCTGTTTGTCATAGTTTGTTGTATAATGTAGAAAATATTTAAAATAAAAGAATAACTTGTTCTTTATTTGACAAATTTTGTTATTCAAACTATATATTTATTAAATACTCTTTATTTTTATATTGTATATTTTTCAAACAATTCTATTTTATTTGATCGATATTCAAAAATATTATTTAGTTAATTAGAACAGAACCTTTCATAATACTAATACCTTTATTAATTGTTTTATAATATTTACATTCCCAAGTTTAAAATTAATAAAATCGGTAACTATATTAGAACGCTCCCTACTCAATGCAAGACAGAACAATTGTGTGTTGCTGCTAAAGCTATTACTGTGGTTACCAGCAATCGGTACCCAGACAGCATGCCCTGATGTCTTTTAGATAAAAGATATATAGATGCTCTGGATAGTAAAGACTTGATGTGTAAACTACTATGTAGTAATTGATATTATTAAATATATTTTATTAGCAGGATTAAAATCATTGGATTTTATGTAAAAATTAGAAGTAAACTATTTTTGTAAATTAAATATTGATTAAATTATAAAAGGAGATTATTTAAAAATATATATTATGTGTATGGATAATTTTGTTAGAAAAATTTTATTATAAAAATCAGCTTTTATTTTTAAAAATATTAGTAATTGCTATTTCACGAAAGTAATATTTCACTCTCTCGTAGCAAAATTGTTACAATCAATATAAAACTATATACTTTGCAATTTTTATGTTTATATTTTATTAAATGTAGCTATTACATTGTCAATTCCTATTAAATAATTTTCTTTTCAAATTAATTGAAAACGAATGTAAAACAGATAAATATTATATATTTGAATAATAAATTAAATTTTATTATATCAATATATTATAATTGGTTATCTGAACAGGAACCTTCGCAGGGTTAAAAGAACATTATACGAGGTGAAAAGAGAATTATGGGCGCGATGGGTCCTTGACACGATTAATCAGTTGTAGGTGGGCCAGTGCAAGTTTCGACACCACGTGCTCTCCTCGCCGAACTCGAGCGCGTTTACTAACGATGCGTTTGTCGATTAGCGGCACATCGGAACGAATGTCCTAAACGGGGATTTACTTTCATCGTCCATTAAAGGTGTCGTCGAGTCTTACGTGGGATGCCCTCGCAAGGTAAATCACTCGGGAAGGTCGGCGACATTGTTCCCTGAATTGTACATAATGTTATTCATGACATACGCAACGACAAACTGACAACAATCGCCATTGCAGAAGAGAAACTCGGGTGAGCGGGATTCTAATTGAAAAATCACGCTATCTCTCTCTCTCTCTTTCTCTCTCTCTCTGCCAAATTGGATCGCAGATAATGTAGGTGAAACTGTATGTTACACTGTCATTGTGTCTCGAAGTGAAAAAAAATGTAGTCTAGCCGGAGATCCACGGATTAACTTTATCTTAAAATAAAGCAAATAAAAAACAAAAGGGAGCAGGAAGTCTTGTTCTCTTCCGAGAGAAAAAGGTTTCTACTGATTGTGAGAAATGTGCGTTATATATAAGGTGGTCCAATGCGCTTTGTTTGATTCTATAGATTTTTCCCTAATTTTTTGTGTGTGTTGTGTGTGTGAATTATTTTTTTTAAACAATTTCTAACGTTTTAACATCAAATGTCTTATAATCAAGTCTCAAAGATAATTTTTGCTTAAAATTTTATTTTAAAAAAAAGTTAAAAATTTTTTGTTATTTATAACTTCAACTTAACGCATGTTTATTGAGAAGAAAAATTAACTTCGGATTTGTTTAAAAAAAATTTTTTTGAAGAAGAAAAATACGATAAGTCCGGATCACCCTGTATAGACAGTTTCAGAACTGTTACTAAACCTTTCACTTATAAGTTCTTCGACCAGTTTAAAACTAATTTTCCCATAACAAGATAATTGATGAAACTACATCAGAGTTGTTATTTTGTCAAGTTTATTTGTTTCGACTGTTTATTTCTATACTTTTAAAAAATGAATAACTTATATTTTGATTGTTGAAATTTTTAGAGCCGATCGCTTATTTTAAATCATGCGCTTTAAAACCTGAGAGATGCGGGGCGATTTCATCCCTTCATATATCTTAAATCTGCAATAAAATAAAGTTCATTGTATGCTTATAAAAACGTGTGCAACGGATTTATCACGCGTCTGAGTTATCTTCCGAAGGTCGTCTATGAAAGTAAAGAAGACGACCTTGTGAATTTGTCAAACGCAGACCGAGAAGTGGATTGATTGGGTTAGCGAAACTAGGACATGTTAAAATTTCAGAGCCATTTGAAATCGCATTGCGATTTTACGTTTTACATTAAAAAGCTGCATCAGATTCATTTATAGTCATCTTTTAGAGTAATCATTAGTAACAGAATTTTTCAGCGAGAATTAAAAAGGTTACAAAAGATATTATAAATAAAATTTTATTATGTTAACAGAATTTGAAAAAGACGTGAATGCGTTAGAATAGATTTTTTATAAATTATAATAATTTAGTTTAATATAATTATAATAATTTAATAAATCGTGATTGAAATTATAAAGATAAATCGGATTTTTATTAAAAAGTTGACCTAATTACATTATTATATTTAATTAATATTTCACATTTAATAGCAATTTTTTAGCAACGCTATTCCGTTGTTCCAACATTACTCAACTGACCAACCGACGACGCGCCGCGGGCGATGGTGGCGAAAGTAATGGTTCGCTCCAATTTCCCTGAGGCTACACTATGCGTTACACCCCCGCCTTTAAACAACGCGCTACTGCTACTCATTTTCCATAAATATATATGTATACTTAAGGATGTTAATTCTTAAATTATCAGATTCATCGTTTTCATGCTCTAAGTGTTTCTCATTCACTATACAAACAAGAAATAGACAAATGTGTTTTCTAAAAAAACTTTACGCCGTTTCTCACTCTTTTTAAAGAAAAAATTAATTATTTGTTAAAAAATTTAATAAGAGATTCGGAAAAGTAATTTCCTCGCAGTGTCAATATTTCTTTATTTGGCATATGCCATAGAGCGGCGATTTCCTTCGAGCGTTCCGACATAACGAAGCCGACGTAAACGTTGCCCGGAGCTTCGTCACAAAATCGGTCGAAAAATCGAACCCATAGATCGAACTGACTCACGAAAGGAACAGGTCGTACGAGTCATCGAACGTAGCCTGTTACGACAGAGTTTTGCGCACGAAGACTTGACATAAAAGATTGCGCATAATTTTTCTCTAGAAAAGTACATACGTCTTTTAAGAAATATCGCAATGCTAATGGAACATTAACACTTATGGAATAAGCATGTCCCATTATATGAAATATTTATTAGCCCTTATTATTAGCATAATGCTATTCATAGCAGTATGGATACATACGTTCCGTTAAAGTCGCAAAAGATAATTACTATTATATCTTTAACAACACTTCATTATATCTTTAACAACATGTGAAAGAGAACTGAGATACACAAATATGCTTAGGTAGCATCTTACTAAGCACCTTACCATGCAAATGCACTCAATGCAAATCCAAGTGTGTTATTTTAGTTTAAGCTCTTCTTATACATTTCTAGCCGTTTTAAATCATGTCATTTAACACGCGATTGAACGTATTAACTTTTTAATTTAATACGCAATTAAACGATGTAGATGTAATTTAACACATAAAGAAACATGTAAAAAGCGCTTCAGTCTAACGTGTTATTTTTAGACGTTTATGCGTGTAAAAACAACACACTTGGATTTGCAGTGCTGCAGTACTCGAGTAACGAAGTACCTGAATACATAAATAATTTAGTATCTGAGTACTCAAATACTTGAATACTTGAGTACTCGATGCGGAGACCGAAGACGGAAAGAATTTCGGCGAATTTGCACGCGACTGCATCGGGCTCGGGCGTGTCTGGTCCCGTAACCGGACGAAAGAAACGGGGTGCCCCGGTGTGACGTAATTCTGGAGAAAGCGGACGCGTGCGTGGACGTGTGCTCCGCAAAAAGAGCGCGACGGGCCTCTCGTCTCTCCCGCGTGATCCGTCAATTATATGGATTATTATTTCCTACTATAGTCTCCGCGGAGACGCGTAATCGCGCGAGACATATGACCCCCGGGGCAAGCCGCGAAGGATTCCTGCCGGACTTCGTTAATGACGTCGCGTGGCAGGAATCCTCCCGATGCGATAATCTACCGCGTGCCTCGCTGATTCGTAATCCACCGCAACGTGATAACTGCCCGTACGGCATTCTGTCGAACGTCGAACACACGATTATGCCAATACGGCATTAATATCCACTTAGTTATGAAAATGGTAGATCGGATTAAATCTCCAGTGTATTTATCGTGACAGTCTGTTACACGCGAAATTAGAATTTTAATTATCCTAGATGTCTAAAGTAAGAGAGATATAAACACAGATATAAGATATATATATATATATATATATATAAGTTCTTTTTGCTTTTCTTTTCTTCCATCTGTGATTTCTTATCTTCTGTCCTCAGGTAATCAGCACTTTGACAAAAAAGATCAGAAG